CCCCCCCCCCCCCCCCTTCAGGCGCAACTTTAAATTTACATGAATCTATAGGTCTATATGCTGAGTATGAATTCACTTATTGTCACTCGTAAAAACCTAGAGTTTCTTTGTATTTTACGATGAATGATGAACATTTTTTATTAACATTAGTGCACTAGTTCAAGTCTCTTATCACGCGGTTATATGCAGTAAATCGTCAATAATTAACCTTTCTCACGATGATGAATATCCGCCATTTTTGGCTGGCATCTAATTCTCGTTAACCAATGCAGACAATTAAAACAATGTGAAAAGCAATTTTTCAAAATAAACTAACCAGTTACAAAGCAAATTTACCATCATTCGTCAAAAAATTATAAAAAGTCGCTGTTATGTGGACTTATCTCGCAGACATCTGCTGAAAAGCCACCCAAAAATGGCGGCGTGAGAAAGGCTAATTAATCTATGCTTCTATATTGCATCAGCTTTTGAGTTTATTGTTGATGAAATTGCAAAGAGTATATTGATAAAGATTCTTATATATATCGACATTTTGGGAATCTCGTTCGATACAACTAATAGTGAATGTTTTTTTAGATTGAATTTTCGAACCTAAATTTCTATACACTTTTTTAGACCTAACAACCAGGAGCAGTTGCAAAAAATACAATTTTAGGCCCTGAATGTTTAGCAACTGGTCTCTGTTGCGCAGCGCGTTAGAGCATTACACCGGAATCGCAGCCAAAGGGCCTATTACTTCCATTTTCGCAGCTGCTCCCGGTTAGATCTAAAAAAAAAGTGTATAGAAAGATTTAGTGCGAACAAATTTAAACGTATAATCGTGGTCATAGCACTTAATGCCCCACAGGAAAAAATTCAGATTTCGTGCATGAGCTAGTTTTTGAAAGAACTGCTGCCAATGGTCAATTTGTGTTAAATAAAATACATCTGGGTCCTGAAGATCTATAGAATATCGTGTGCTCCTTGTTCGTTGTTGATAAAAAATTTGAGCAAGACAGTAACCCCCGAAATTGTAGTACAAGTTTAGAATCTGTAAAATTCTTGATAAAGAATCTTTGCAATTTCATATTGAGATGAACCGCGTAATACCCCCCACCCCTCTCCCCCGCCTTCGAACTAGTACAATAACTGTGTATAACATGAAGTTTCCAAAAAATACTGCTAATTTTAATACAAAATGTTGACGCTTGATCGTAAAATATAAAGAAAATGGAGGTTTTCATGAATAAATTCGTGCCGGGCATATCAGAATCTATAAATTTATGTAATTTTAAAGCAGTGCCCGAAGGGAGGCAACAAAACTCGTTTTCTAAGCAACTTTTTTTGGTCACAAAATACAGCCTATGGGATGAGGTGTATTGCTTTCATATAACAAACTAGGTTATTTCCAAAGCCATTTTTAAGAATATGCTTAATCAACTTTATAATAAAGAATAATTTTTTTTCACCATGCACACCTGCAGATTTACAAGAAGTAATAAATACCTGAAAGAGGTTTCTGCATGATCTCCAATGTAAATTCCGACACTTTAGCTTCTTCTGGATAAAATGGCTTCTCTTTAAGGGACTCCACAGTGATAACATTCTCTTCGCCTGACTTCAATTTTCTAAAATACTCTTGGACATCTTCGTTCCAGCAGATGGACGAGTCAAAGCCTATGGTGTTCTTAAAGAATTGAGGAACACATACATCCGCCGTCACTCCTTCGTTTACACAAAATTCAAATATCTCATCGTGAAAGAAACTATCCACGAGGGACGAAAAGAATAACTGGGGCATTGATTCCTTTGGGACGAGCCGTAGTAGTTTGATGTCATAGTTCAAGCAAAAGATGGCCCTATCACTAAAAATCCAGTATGTGCGGCTATCAAACAACTTGGCAGTAATTCTTGCATAACTCAACCAAATAGCCCACTCAAGATGATCAGCTTTTTCCTGTATGGTCATTTTATTCAAGACATCAGTTTCATCGAGAACTTTCATTGCCATATACTCGGAACAAATGAAACGATCCCAAGCGTCACCAATACGGTGAAATGCGGCATGAAGAAGGTCGATTGCTTTAATACCTAATTCAGATATCAGAACATTCACGTTTGAACTCCCGCTCTCACTGGAATGAAAGAGATAACGCAAAGAAAAGAATTTGAGGTCTAGAAGAGCAGTAGGATATGGCAGTTTCGGACGAAAACATACATTTTCAAAAAAATCGCCGGGTGAAGGATACTTAACTTTAAGAGTTTTCAAGTTATAGTTTGCCATAATGGAGTCCCCGTTGAGTACATCGCAAAAGAAATCTGACTCTTCGTCTTGCAACCAATCTCTTACAGAACTATGGCTGAAATAATATTTACCAGAATCATCCTTTACTAAGTAGCCTGATAAAGGTTTGACGACTTTATTGAGATCATGCATCTTAATTTCAGGCAAGAAACCACACTTCACAACCTCTGTAACACTTTCATCGCTCTCCTCATAAACATGCTGCACATTCTAAAACTGAGTACTACCATCCTCATTATTTTTAAAAATGGAGATTAGGTGATTTAATCTACCTATTTCAGGTATCTCTTGATGTATAAAAGCCTTAGCAGATTGAATGGCAAGCACAATTTGAAGCACAGGTGCAACTTTTTTCTCAAAGAATTCTATATCTGGAAAGTGACGCCTGAAGTCCAAGCAGTAAATCTCAGATAACGAGGCAGGCAAACCAATTTCATTATGGCCATCAAAGATGTGTTCCATCACAAGTTTAGCATAAAGAAAGCAGTTCTGACTAGCCTGAACTATTTTCTCTTGGCCTACTTGCTCGTCAGTAGCAAAGAAAGAAGGAATACAGTTAAATTCAGTTTGAAGTTTTCTGTACTTCATGGAGACAAATTGACGAATATCTTTGCTAGACAGGGACTCGAGACTAGTCTCAAATTGGTCTAGTTTAACAGAGGTGGAATTTAAAAAAAGGCCCGATAAAGCTGGAGAATTGTGTCTTGCAGTCAAAATGACGCGAAGCGACGAAGGAAGTGTTCCTGATAATCTGGCAAAGCAAGAAGCAATCATGGCACCTCCTTCATCTAAGCCGTCAATGACAAGAAAATGTCTGGTATTTTCATTCAATTGCTGCAATGGCGTAGTAATTAACAAATCGAACAGTGCGTTAGGATTATCTCGAAATTGATCAGTCTGTAGTTTCTCAACCAAGGCAGCATATTCGGAAAGACTCTTCGAGAGCATAGTACTGAGACTATAGACTAACGATTGCAAATCGCAGGTGCGAGGATTATCTCTTTGACAGTAATGGTATCCAGCCAATTTTTCTCCTTCGTGCCGACGGACAAACTCTTGGGCGAACGAGCTTTTGCCTGTTCCAGCACCACCCCAGATAAGGAAGACACGAGACTCCCGAGACCCGAGGTCTTTTTCAAACCATTTTTCAACTTTACAGAACAACCACTCACGACCGACAAATTCTTCCTTCATTCGATCAGAGACTGGGTTGAACTTTAGCTCTTGCTTACGTCACAAGATATTTGCGGTGACTCTGATATAGCTTTTTCTAGGTGTTCCAGCCGGCTGTTGGTAGAATCTTCCAAGTGATTGATTTTTTTCTCGAAAGTTTTCAGGTCGTCTTGTAGTTCGCTTTTCTTTACAAACTCATCCAAGCCTTTCATCTGATCTTTAATCTGCTCTATGTTCGCTCCGACTTCGTCTTTCAAATCACTTCCCAAACTGACTATATCCTGACCAAGTTCACGTCGTAACTGAACGAATAATTCCAATTCTTTTTCTTCAATGACCGCTAGACAAGTGTGGGATAAACTATTAAGCTCCATTATGGCGTCTTGGACATGTTTGTCACCGTTCAGTTCTGGGTCTTGAAGAAGCGAGGTTAAAGATGCAAACGCGTCGACTTTGTCAGCATCACTTACACGCAGCAACGGTGCATGCGCCCAAACATTCCTAGCACTTCTTGCCGCTGCTATTTTCGAAAGATCGACACCTGTGTTGAACATACCATTTGTCCCTCTCGGAGACCATTCTAATACATTCAGCAGTCCCGATATATCAGTAGTTTTGGCGTTGACTGCATCAAGCTTTCTCGGTCCCAAGGGAGCCATGAAAATCTTAGCAATCTCCCATGACGCACCAACGATCAACCATTGAGTGTCGTCACTGTTGCTCCAGGATATTTTTCTTTTATCACGTGATCGATGGGCATTCTCCAAGTGAGATTTCCACGTAGGTACATTATTTGGCAAAGTTGCAAGCAGTGATGTGTGGTACTTGTCAGCAGCATTTTGAATTATGGTTTCCACGCCGTTCCGGGTAATCTGGATTGCTCGACCAAAAGTAACCCAGTTTTTATATTTTGCATCAGTTAGTCTACTGTGAGCCATCACTATTTATTTTTAGCCTTGAAAAAAAATGCATTAGTATATTAACTTCCTCCGCAAGCATCTGAAACAACATGTCTAAAGTTTCTACAATATTGCATGCAGTGCGAGCATAACTTTTCTACTGGGTAATCACTGAGCTGTATATACTCAAGAAATAGTGCTCCAGTGGTAAAACAGACACAGTAATTACTTTCAGCAAAAGCGGACTAAATTTGGAGATTTCACGTTGGTCACCATATTGAATTTAAACGCGCCGGAATCTGGGATCTACCTTCACAAGACCTATTTTTTGGTCAAGTTATTACACCGACCTGTAAGGCCAAGTGTCTTAAATCCCTAATTTTCTGTTTTTTTGGTCGTGGAGAATTTGAGCTTGCGTTATCGAAGACCCCACTGTTCCAGTTTACTATACAGATCAGCTTTCAAGATGGCGGCTATTCAATTAGCCTGCGAACAGGCTCACTGGGAGAAAGGTGAGCCTGCACGGAACCATGCGTTTTATTCAATCATCCCCTTTTCGCGTGTACATTGTGCAACGAAGAAATACTGAATATTAAAATGTATACATAATGTATATATGAACAATAATACAAAGCATTAGCGTGCCGCACAATATATTACTCGAAAAAATATAGAATTCTTTAAATATTAAATAGATATCAATACACATACAAATATAAAGCCGAATAAAATACTACCATTGGCATTGAATGTACAGTAATACTTGTACTATGTGCGACTGAAAGAACAATGTTCTGAATATTTGAAGCTATTACTAAAATATGGTCAGATAGATTGGGATTTGGAATACCGAATACGTCTAAAATTTTACTAACTGTGGTCTAAATAAATGATAAATGAGCATGTATTTATTAATTTCTTCAAAATCATGAGTGTGCCAATAGTGGAAGCCGTATCGACGACGAAATTGTCAGCAGTTTATGCAGTAAATAGTACAACGTTTAATGTACGATATGTATTTATCTAAATGACATGCCAGCGAGGATCAACAATATAATTATTCGTACATATTTGGGTATCTTTTGTATGCCTAATCGCTTGCTGACTCACTCACTAATGAGAATAATCTGTGAAGCCACGACGATCTCAAAATGTACTATAAATATAGTATACTATAGTCTGATGTCAATCCGAAGACGAAGTTCAGAATACTGTTATAGTTTCGTATATTGGATTTAAGCGATAGATTCAACTGAGTCATTTATGATAGACTTTTTTGCTGTGATGCTTTGTTTATATTGCTTTTGGTTTCCATTTCTAGTTTTATTTGTTCGATAGTCTTATAATATATAATATTAAAATGAATAAAGTTCAAATTCTTCAAAATGCTGTTGTTGACATTTGCTATTTTTAGTAATTTTGTCAACGAGTGTAAGCCAATCAGAAGCCTGTGTTTCTATACGAACGCCACTACCAAGAAAACCTATAGTTCCGTGCAGGCCCTCTATTCTTCGCGCCGCCCGTAACCCACTGGGCCTGTTCGCAGGCTAGTTTAGGGTTTTTCACAATCACAACCTCAATAAAATTAATTAAATTTTTTTGTAGATATACATTGCAATTAGTTCCCAGGATGTTCCAAGTGAAGATTTGTTGATTATGAACTCTTTCAAAGTCGCAAATGAAAGGTATTATCTTTTTCCTTTTTATGTGTAGCCTGTTATGCATGGATCAATTCCTGCGGTTACCATCCCCCCACCCGGGCAATACCCCTGGGATTTGTTTTTTTCTGCAAGAATGTAGTAAATTCACACCCCTCCCCCCCCCCGGACTTTAAAACTTGACAATTCCCTACCCCGGGGCATCGCTAAAAAACTAAAAATAAGAAATATCAACAAGCAGTTTATTACACACATTTTTAATAAATTATTCATTAAAAAATCTGTGATTTGAAGCTCGATTTGAAGAATCGTTCTTTTTAAAGTATGTTTCGAAAGTTTTAAAAAGTTTATTTTGAAAACAAATTGTGTTGCAAAACGTATATATTGTACTGTTGAAAAAAAGATAAACTACCTACCTTCAAAAATAGATTTCAACTTTTGTAAGTTGTTTTTTTCCAACCATTCGCCAACAAATTCGCAAGATTTTCCCGAAAAAGCCTCTTGAATTGACCACAAGGTAGTCACCATTTTGAATATTTTTGGACATGCGCTCACTGAACTATATACATGTCACTGGATGCGCTAGCTGCTAGATATGCGGTCAAAACATGGTCCTGGATACGAGCTTTTCTTTTTACCCCGGGGAAACCCCCGGGATTAAAGTTTCTGCATTATCCCAGGGGTTGCCTGGTGGAATGGCAACAACAAGAATTGATCCCATGCATTATGTATATTTTTAGCAATTTTCTCTTTAACCCTTTAAGTGGCAATGCACCCCGGTGCACCCTACTTTAGTATTTACTCTGTCTAATGCCGGACGACGGTCATACTAATTACTGACAAAAAGGCGGATAAATACCGACAAAAGGCAAACAAAAACCGCAAAAGGCCAACAAAATTATTCTACAATGATTAATATGTGAAATGGCAAGTATTTGGGTTAAAAACTCTTGTTAGTCAGCAAATAAATTATGAATAGATCATCACTCTTAATCAAGTTATTTATATGACTTAGACATGGGGAAAAAGTTTTTTTCTGCCAAAGTTTTTTTCTGCCTTGCGTCATTGCAAAATTGATGTTTTGTAGCTCTCTCCTCCGTAGAGCCTCCTTAAGTATTTACAAATAACTTACATGAAGTTTCCTGAATAAAAGTGAGCGCGCGCGGTGTGATGGGAAGATTGAAATGAAGTTGGGGAGGCCCTGCCAGATAATGCGACGAAGTATGGTTTTTGAACCAAACTAGTTGTTCAACTTGTTTGATCTTTTTTAAACTTGAAATCGACAGAAATGTGAAAGAAATTGAAATGAATCTTCATAATCTGAGTATCGAAGTTCAATAGAGTCATTTTTATAAAGAAATGTTGCAATTACTAGAGGATATTTATAATTAGATAGCTTGTGTCCATTGATATTCGTTTGCAATTTCTCAATATTTTTCGATGCAAATGGCAGAAGAAGATATTGATATTGAATTCACCCTAGCTGGGCAGGATACTCAAGTATGCCTGAAAATGAAAGTCGAAAACATGTTTTTAACACTCCCGATGGTTGATCGAACTTTGCTACAAACGATTATAGGCATTATATACAATGCCATATTGATTGCATTAACTTGCAGAGGCTTCAATCAATCAATCAATTTATTGAGCACCATTATTTAAAAAAAAATATATTTGCATTAAATATTTGGATCCTGATATGGGTGCAAGCTAGCAGCAGTAACCATTAGGTTAAACAAGGCAGCTAGCTAGTAATAAATAATATATTTCCATTTCCAATTAATCTTAATTAAAGCACAGAAGTATAACTTGAAGGTCAAAAATTGTTCATATATAAATAAGTAATTCACTATTACTAGTACCTTGCTTATAACTATTCAAAAAAAGAGAAAAAAACAAAAGGAAGAGAAAAAAAGAAAATCTTGTTCAAATATATTGCATGTAATTATTAATTTGTATTTTTAATTTTCTTTTGTTAGTTTTGACAATCATTCCTTGTATTTTTGCAGTAGGAATTTTTTAACTTCAGCTTTAAATTTTGATGGTTTAAGTTTCTTTATTTCATCATTAATTTCATTCCATACCTTTACGCCCGAAAAGCGTATATTAAATTTCCCATAATTTGTTCCTTCCTGCTTCCTTTATTTAGCTCTTCCCATCACTCCTTGCACACTCACTTTTCCCTCACTAGGAACTTCATGTAAGCCTCTGCAGAGGAGAGAGTATTTTGTAGTGATAAATTGATGATTTTGTTTTTTACGCGGGGGGGGGGCACTATTTTTATGGGGGGACACTATCCATGCTAATGATTTATGAATTTATCTTGTTTCTTGATGATGTCATTTTCTATATGGTATAATAGTTGGCCTACAAATACTAGCATCTATTAAAATACATTATAAGAGTGATAATGATTTTGAAAAAAATCATTGCCAACTGATCAAACACTACAAGCCAAAACAAATGTAAATAATAATTACTAATTTTAGAGTCAACCAACAAGCGAGGCATGTGTGGGACTAAAACACAAACATAGTTAATAGTCAAATAATTAATTAAATAACCATGTAGTTAACAGCACATGGGGGGTTGGAATTTGTCTCAAATTGAGAAATAAAGTAAGAAAAAACTCAAGGCAAAAATCATTGGGCCCCCCGCCCCACCAAGATTTCCGCCACTGAGTGGATAAAAGTTTTTCCCACATATATAGTGATGGAAATTATTTTTTAAAAAACAATGCTTTAATGGTGATTATTAAAGTTATCAAGCTATGAGTCATCAGCTACAGAGTACAAAAGGTCCAGACTGCCGTATCCATTCCTATTGTCATTTTGACACTGCTTACACTCTCGACTGAGTTCTCCGAAATTATCACTTCAAAAGTTTTTAGTCGCTTGAAAGTTTTATTGCTTCATTATACCATGCATCAACAAAATCTTTAAGCTGGAGACACATTATTCATTTTAGAAATAATTATTCAAACAGCTGAAATCTTCCTTTAGGGAAGAGACCTATTATTATTATTTCATTTTTCTATTATTTGGTGTTTTAAATGACACATTTTCGCATAAAAAATTAATTTCATTGTGTTTACTGCATTCAAGGTCAAATTTAGCTAATAACATGGTTATAAAAGTTAAGGTAAAATAGGTTAAGAAAAGTGATAATTATAGTTAAATATCAATTGTTCAACTATTTAATCTTTAGAAGGTACAGTAGGTTCCTTCCCCTATTTCATGGCATTCAGTTCAGCAATTGCTCTTGGAAAGAAACTGTTTTTAAAACGTTCAGTTCTGCACTTATACAGTGACAGATTATTCACGTTTCTCATATAATATTGTTGGGCACAAGCTCTACACTGTGTCACATGGTCAGCAAGGGAACCTGCACGTTTAACAATCTTCTGTAAGGTATTTATACAAGTTTTGTTTTGCCTGTCGCTAGACCATACCAAAACGGCAAAAGTTGAAGAGCAAAAAATCAAGCCTTTTATACTTTTGTCGGCTTTTGTCTTCCTTTGTCGGTATTTGTCTGCCTTTTTGTCTGTATTTGTCTGCCCTTCTGTCAGTTTTTGTCGGTAATTAGTATGAGGCCAAAGAAAACATGGGTTTCCTATTTCTTCTTGTGAAAACTTAGGGTAGGTTTGTTTTAACTTTTTTTTAAATTTTCTTAACAACTGAACACCTTAATGTTAGTCACAAATGTTTTCCTCTAAGTGGAAACACTTAAAAGCATGCTCCAACAAAAAAGTTTAGGGTCTGGATTTCGGCATCCAAAAGCTCTAGGTAGGGTCAGGAAACTGGAAACCCATGTTATTTTTTGTGGCCTTACCCATTTTTTAATTAAATCTGTTTTCGAAAATTCCCCAATAAAGAAAGATGTGGAGTCACAGTAGATCCACACTCCCCCTACAGAGGAAATCAAGATTTTTTAGACAAGTTCGGTTATTCACAATCACAACCTCAATAAAATTTAATTAAATTTTTTTGTAGATATATATTGGAAGTTCCCAGGATGTTTCAAGTGAAGATTTGTCGATTATGAACTCTTTCCAAAGTTGCAAATGAAAGGTATTGTCTTTTTTTCTTTTTATTTGTAGCCTGTATATTTTTAGCAATTTTCTGTTTAGTCTAATTTATTTCCTCAATAATTAATTTTTAACATTTTCCAGATATGTGTTGCAAGTTCCAAGAATATCCCAAGTTGTTGGCTGAAGTTTTGTACATCACAAAAAATGGACACCGTCATCAGTTGGAAAGTATAACAAAAGGTTTTAATAATTTTATGCCATATTTTATTTATGAAATGCTTTGAAAATTATAATTGTGATAAGTGGCTGTCTATTAAGTTTTTAACATATATGTTAGCAAAACAGGGCAAATTGCCATCTTTAATTCAGAAAACAACAAAAACATTAAAAAAAAACAAATGCTCACTGGATTGGTTGTTGTTTTGTGTTTCCACCGATCACAGGAAGTTGTCAATTTTCAAAGCATTTTATTTCAGACCAAGCCAAAGAATGACTAATTGTTTGTGTTTTGAAAACTTAATATGTTCCATCTTGTGTGAATCATTTTCGACATACTGTACACGTTTCATGTTTGGCATACTAGCTACTTCTTAAAATACTTGTATCAATACATTTTTATTTATGTGTCCTATATGTGGACATAGTTGCTTTTACATCACAAAGTTTTGCATGTAGCTATCATAATTTATGACAAAAGTCAAAACAATACAGTTTCTCATTATTTGGCTTTGTGGTGTGCATGAGACTTTGAGAAGAATGAGATGATTTTCAATTTTTATGTAGATGAAACAAATTTTTTACAGATATTAAAACAAGAGAGTTTTAATTGATTATTTCGCCATTGAATTCACAAACCAGTGTTACGTTTAATTTTAGTTGCATGTTTGTTTCTTTATCACAAAAAAGAACACTGATCAGAATAGTGTGTTCAAAATAATTTATCTTTCAAACTTATCTTTCAAAATGAATTGTGAAAACAGATTTATAACTAATTGGGTTCCTGATTTGTCATCTCAATCTTCTCTTGTTCAAGTTGACCTTCATTGTTTGTTTGAAAGTATGGAAAGTTCATATGAAAATCACAAAGTCTGTTCTACATATTATTGGAGGATTTTAATATTAAATCTTGAAACAAGCGATCTGGGATCAGTTAAAAAATATAACCCCCAACAGTTGGCAGTTTTAGAACTGCCATGTAAATAAGCTTAATAATCGAATTATTTACCCATGAAATTCTTAATTCATGAGTTGAACTTGCTTGTAATGCATTGATTGACCTTTCATTCTGGTGCCAAACAGATGTGTGGTTTTGAAGAACACATTTGAACTTTGGAATAAACTTTGTGATTTTAAATTATAACTGTTCCAACTTTAAAACAAGCATTTGAAGTCAGAATTAGCTAGCATATATTGTTTTCACTTCATTGCAAAGTGGAACTTGTTTGAGGACAGATGAATTGAAGCACCAAAACTTAACCCCTTTTTGGAGCGGTATGCGATGATAAAACAATAAAATTGATTGGCACATGTGTATATGCACATAGTAAAGTAAATCACAACCAGACATCAAAATGATGTTCTTTGGAACAAAAAGCAAAAACAGTGAAAATATTCAAAAGTATATAATTGTTTGGTGAAAATATTGGTTACATACATGTTGGTAGGATTTCGTACTAAGAAGCAATAGAGAAAATCAAAAGACGAACAAGCAATAAAGAAAATCAATAATAGGAAATTTGTTAATTTCAATGATTGCCTCATCATTCTTAGTGAAAGATAAGATTGCAGTTTTTATGTTAGCATGTACAAAATTGATCCATACAGAATATAGGTTCTACAGTTTTAATGATTCAACTACACTTTATAGATGTCATGAACAGTAAATATATTTTCACTGAATTTGAAAAATTGTTTGGTATATTTTTCATGTTTCATTTAATGAATCTTTGGATTTAGACTGAATCAATTAGTTTCACACCTTTATTCAATTGCATTTTGATTTTTGAGTTTACTATTCTTTGGAATATTTTTTATTGGTTCGTTGCAGTTAATCATTTTGCAATTAAAATTAGTTTGTTAATATGTTAATTATATTAATTGCTTCAGTTCAACTTTATTTTCAAATAGTTCCACCTTGTAACAGTGTAGTAATATAGTAGCCATAATAATAATATAAGAAAATAGGTTTACATGGCATTTGAACATCGTCTTTTCAACAAGTAAGTCAAGGTAAGTTTATACTTCAATAAGATCTGTTTTTAACCTGACAACATTACCGTTCAAAACTGACCGAAATTCAATCTTTTTATTGAGCTTTCCACTCCACAAAAAAAAAACATTTATGTGTTTTATTTGGCACTATGCGTTTTCATGTTTGTGTTTGGCTTGTTTTAATGTTGATACCACAAATTGATGAAAGTGCAATATAATATTTTTTCATTGCGAGAGATTATAAGGATTTTGTGGAAATCAGTTTCTATAAATCTGAAATGCAAAGGTGTTATCATGGGGCAGATGGGCGGACAGCCCTCGCTATTTTGGGTGGGGTGGATAAGTATATAACTATCCTCCCACTTTTTGCCAGTTATTTACCCAAAACCTAGCCTGAGTATGTTTTGAGTTATGGAAAATGTTCAGTTGTTTGCAAATGAAAAGTTTGCCTTTTGCTGCCTGATATAAGGAAAAAAAGAAAAGGTTTTGAGTGATGGAAACATAAGGTGTTTCCAAATAAAAGGTTTGCTCTTTGACTGTTTTAAAAAATATTAGATAGAGGTTCAACCATAATTTTTGGGCAGATGCTCACTCACTTCAAGTTTGTTCAAAATGTTTCCTGCAGTTTCTCTTCTGCATATAAAATGTGAAACAAATTTTTTTCTAAGTGAAGTCCACATGTTGAAGACGTTTGTTTCTGAAAGAATACTGTCGGTCTACTATTTATCATTTTTTGTAGTTACCATGCAAATGACAAGAAACGTCATACCACTTTCTAAGTCTTTGTGTTTGGTTGAAACAAATTGAAATAATATTCCAAAAATGAATGCAGAATGTTTGTAGATAATTTGCACGTTCAACAGCATTTTCATCACGTGAAAAATATTATATCTAATCAATTCAATGTTGTCAGGTTAAAAATAAAATGAGAGTGATACATGGCTTTAAGAGACTTGATTTGACAAAAACTGAATTAATTTTCATTTCAAAATATATTCCATTCAGTACGGAAATAATAATTTAGGTTATGAAAAGATCTTGCCAAAAGGCACTCTGAATATAAATACGACTATAATTTTCTGCAATCTGACATTTGCTAATTTAAGTCATGGATTTTATTGTCAATGTTGTGCCAACTAATTTATTTCTTTAAGCATCAAACATGATAAAATTATTTCTTTCCATACTCAGTGAAATCAGCAATCTTTTTACCAAAGGCAACTTAGTGCGTGTACAAAAGAAAAATCTGTTCGGATTATTATTTTATATCAGCCATGTATTTTCTCTGTAATTGTGAAACAACTCCGTTTTCTACTTTGGATTTCAATTGATCACTTACTTGTTTCACAATTGTTTGGTTTTGAAGTATAAACAAATATCTTGAGAAGACCAAGTTCTCTTGTTTCCTCAAGCGTTAACGTTTTTAATATTAATTCGCGGGCAAACAAGTTTTTAATGTTGTGTTTATTCACTTGTGTTGAACACAATGTTAATTGTTCTCTTTGTGCCATGTTCTGTTTTCTTCTATTGTTATTTAAATGAGTACACTATGCTGTGGTTGTTCTCTTTTTATTGTTATTCAAATTGTAATATTTACAAGTTCTTTTCAATAAATTGTTCATTAATTATACAAGAGACTCTTTTTTAATTAAAAATTCAATTCCCATGGGAATTGAAAAAAAAAATAAAAAAAATCTCCCTACCCCGGCCGGCTCTCCAAGTGCTACCTCTACTTCAGCAAAAGTACTTCATAGTAAAAGTACTTCTACTTAAAGTAGAGGTAGCACTCGGAGAGCCAGCCGGGGTAGCGGGGCGAAGAGAAGACCAACCTTGCAAATGCTAATGCAAATTGCTAAATTGATCTTCTCTTGAGAGCAGCCACGCGCATACCTGGCAAATATGTAAAACAACAAACGTTAGTAACAAATACTTATAGCATGCAAATTTGAATCCCATGGCCGAAAATGACAAGTGCCCCCCACTGATTCCTACCAACTGCCTACCTGCCTCAATCCTAAGCTGTCTGCCTCAATCCTAAGCTGTCTGCCTCGGTCCTAAGCTACCTGCATTCCATTCGTAACTTCCGCTTTTCTCGCCATCGCACAGACACTCACGACTGCCCAACCTGCCACCAGCCCGAACTGCCCACCCTTCAAAAACTGAAGGAATTAAAATTTCGGTAAAGTATACATAATTAATTGATTAATTCGGATATTTTAGGCCAAACGTAAACAGATAAATTAAAGGTTGACGATTACGAAAGACCGCATATTGCAAACAGGTGAGTTTCTTGCTTGCCTCAGTACATGAAATATACATAGCAAAAATATATGAAACCTCGAAACCCGGATTTTCCTCTTCCAAATATTTCACTACGAGACTGTAATTTTAGTTTAAAAAATAACGAAACTTTGCTGATGTTAGGAAATCTTGCTGATGTTGGGAAATTAGTTGTTTTGTTCAGAAAAAATGTATTTTCTCTTTAAGTATGCTCTCAAAATGTTAATTCCTTTAGTTTAGCCTAACCCCATGCATCCTATACACACGGCGCACACTCTCGCACTCCATACATTTAGCTAATAAATTACGTTATAAACAAAAAAGCAAAATAAAAAGATAAATTACTTTATCACTAGCTATCCTATAACCCGCTTAGACTGAGTTTTGGATTCTGGTTCGAAATGGAAAACCTTAACTGAAAGGGCATGGGCTAAAGTGTTGTTGACTGGTCCGAAATAAATACAAACCTTAAACTTACCGAAACCAAAGGCTCGGTTAAATAAGCATGAGAATGTGTAGAGTTGTTTAATGAAATTTTTTTAACATAAAACGTATTATATTATCAATTGCGAAACTACTGTTGTTTCGAAAGAAAGAAGGCTTATCTGTCTTTATCTTTTGGGCTACAGGAGTTCAAATCCAAACGTGAAGTAACATGTTTTTAATGACCATATAGTACAGTTATCTATATAGTGCAAACGCGTCGAAACATTGAAAAACTTAACCGCAATTCTCATACTCATTCAACCGGAACGCCTTAACATTTGCATGGCACGTCGCAGCTGCTCTCAAACCACTTTCGTAATTTGCTTTAGTGGGCACAAACAATGGCCCAATTGTTCTTGTTCCATTGTTTCTGCTTACTGAAACAAACCCGAAAGGAACAAGATACTTATCATATTTAATCAAAGAGGATTCATTATAAAGTCAGGTTTCCGCTATGAAATCAACATTAGCATGAAAACAATGCATATAGTATATTCCCATGGGAATTAAAAATACCAAATATAGTCACTCTATTTCTGGTGTTTTTAACACTTGTATGAAATCAACATTGGTGTATTCTCATGGGAATTAACACACGAAAAATAAGTCCTCAATTTCTATTGTTTTTCATGATTTAAATCATTCTTTTAATTTTTGCGTGTTTTCTTCGTATGCTGATTTCATAACAGAATATATAAACATGGGTAAGTGTCTAAGATTGTTTATATTAGCTAACAACACTTACCGGATGGAAAAAAGACGAAACGTCCACTAAGTATTACTAAAAAAAATTTCTGAAACTTCTATGGGGCACACTGATTTTTTTTCAGTAAAAACATACAATCGAGAAGATTCCAAGCAAAACTTCAACTTTTTTTTGCAACTTGAAAAATGTTGCGTTTGATGTCAAAGTTAACCTGTATTTTTTTATTCATAAATACTTAAAAATAATTTAGAATTTAATTATTTCCTTCAAATTTCGATTTTTTTTTGTAGTTTTTGCTGTTTTCTCAATGATACTGACTACATTTGAAATTTTTAACTTGGATTGATTAATTTCTTCATGGGATACTCGAAAATTAGTGTGTGTCATTTTCATAATATTGCCAAACTAATAGGAAGTTTCATTTAATTTTCAAAGGTATTTAATAAACATGCATATTGATTTTATATTAATTTTGCCAATTTGTTCACTATTTCTTTTTTTCAATGAAAAACAATCGCATTCGGTGTATCCTCTTTGATTTCTGAATAAGTATCTTGCCTTTTAACTTACATTTGCAAAATTTTCACTATACTTTCACATTAGCAATTTGTGGGTTTTGATTGTTGCGAATTGTCATTCTTTTCTTGGGTTCATATCATCCATAAGTCTTTCATTCTGGTCTTCCTTCCTGACCTCCACTAGCTTGGATCGTTGACTTTTCTTATCACATCACATGGACCTATTGAAATTAAAAAACTGTCTATTAGATCATAATTGCAATGAATTATTTATTACTTAACTACAAAATAAGAGAAACAGTCGTATTGTATGCGAATACTTTATATATAAATCATCTTAAAATTATGAATTATATTTAGCAGGATTATATTTAAATAAACATGATTATTATTTATTGAAAATAATTCAGGAGTTTTGATTGGCTAAGAGCTGTCGGTGAAATCGTCATGCCCGCTCGGTGGTTGCCCAAATTTGGAGTTATGATATCACCGTGGAATATTGAAAACAAATATATCACGTCTGACGTAATTTCGTGGTTTATTGAAAAACAATATAACACGCTATGACGTCACGCTAATTTATGCGGCTTATGCCAAAAGCGGGAAAATACAAATGGCTTCCTCAAAGGGAAAGTTCGCCGACCTTTTTTGTGTATTCCGACAAATAAATAATAAGACTATTGAATGAGGTCGAGTTGAGGTCGACACACTTCGGCCTTAATCAAATTCCTCATATCCTACTCGACCTCATTCAATAGTTGTTTATTAATTTAGCAGATATAAGGCTTCCTCACGGTCATGCTTTTCTCGTGAATTATTAACGATTACATATAGCTTTGATTAACAACGTTACGATACAGAGCTTTACGGGACCGGTCATTATAATGTTGTGGGGATTGCAAAAATAAGAGTGGCATAAATAAATATATTATTAAATTTAATAAATTATTCAAGAAATGGGGGAGGGAGGTAAAAATGTTGGGTTGTAAATAAATTTGAAGGAAATTGCTTAGCCTGGTCTCCATTTGGTTGAAATGTTGCGACTAATTCCTGTTTTAATTATACGTCGAATTTCGGTCGCGTCGAATGCAATCCAAACAATAGATAATGAAGCTTAATGAGGTTTATAATCTTATTACCTATTGTCATGGCCATGGCTGATGTGAAATGGAGGAGGGATGTCATTATTTAATTTCTGCTTTTTTGGTAGGGGCTTCAATTTTAAAAATTCAGGAAAGAAAAAGTTCCTCTCCCCCTCCTGCATAAATAATAACCGGTAATGCTAAATTTCAGTTTCAATAGAATACTAAACCTAAGGATAGGACTTATACATGCACAATAATATTAAATGCTAAAATTCATATTTATTTTAAAAATATTGCATAGGTACATAAAAGGGTGTGGCCAATCTCAAATAATTAAAAGCACAACTGTGAAAGAAAACTGGATGTGGCAATTAAAGTGAGTAATGAGTAAAATATTTATTACATTATTCAATCATAAATTACATCAACAAAACATACATTTACTATATATCTTTGCATTGTTGTTTCTGTTGGTCGCGGTTCGTCATTCTGTTGGTGGTTCCATCACGGTTGGCACTCTTTTCATGGGACATCACAACACGTCCATCCAGTGGGTAACAAGTGCACTCAATTTCACGTAAATCACCATAAAATAACGAGGAAAAAGTTATTAATTCACGTTAAAAAACAACTTGAATAAGAAAGATAAATGATGAATTTAATTTAATTGCAAATTACACTAAGTAGAATTTAAAAATATATTTGCAATTAAGAGCTGCAGTATTGTAACTTATTGATTGTGAGTAACATAAATAGAACACCGCGGAAAAACGTCTGCGCATGCGTCAACCTTACCTGTAATAGTATTACAAACTTGATGAGAAGCTGTTCCGAACGTTTCCGAAAGCTCAAAATGGCGGTAAAAAGGAGTGACTTCATTGTGCGTCTTTACAGCCAGATTTCGAGCGCAAAAATAAACATGTCATTCTAAAAACTAGGAATAAATACAGCCAGAAGGTTCAAGAAATTGTATTTTACAAGAACATGAACTAAAGGTGATTGTTGACAAATTTATCGTCTGAAACATTTTGTTTATCAACAAAGCAACGACAATTTCCGAATTTTCGTTTGAGATACATTTCTTTAAAAAAAACTGTGTCGCCAAATATAAAAAATTTTCGTGTTCACAATAATTAAACTTTAGGATTTATTCTACAATTTGAGTGGGTTAAGAAGCTTAACTTTTCGAGAGTTTTCTTAACTTTTGAGTTTGAATTTTTGTTTTGAATAATTGTGCAAAAATTTTCGAAGTCGTATCCGTTAAAATCAACAATTTTTTACATGAATTATATTTTATTCCATACTTTAAATGCCAGGACGCTTTCAATTAATGTCTAGTCTACCCATTTGCTATATTTTCTCGTTTGTTTTACTAATTTTTGACCAATTAATAAGCATGTTTTTGTTTTAGAAATTGATATTCAAATTCCCCGCCATATTTTCATAATTTGGTGCATGCGCAGACGTTTTTCCGCGGTGTTCATAAATAGGGAGTTTACGATCTACGACGCGGCCGGCTTGACGACGCGCTTTCAAAACAAAGAAATTTGGTGTTTCCACAAACAATAGTATTGTGTGTTTTATCGCTATGCAAACCTACAAAGAACTTACAAAGAAATTGGTCATGCAAGACAAAAACTGTCAATAATTTGTGGTCCCATGAGTATTGTCAACCGCGTTGTCATTCTCAACACAACGTTAAAAAAGCATTATTATGTCTTTCAGGCAACGCGAAAGCTTAATGCGACACAAGAGGTGATACTAAAAGTCGAAATTACAGCAAACATTGCATCGCTTTAGCCGAACGTAGCAATTTGTATAAGGTTATTTGAAAGAGTCAAATATTTATTACAGTAATCGAATTGCTTAGCGCTCATTCTTGAGCTAAAATTTAGACCGCGTCGTTGAGCCGGCCTCGTCGCAGATCGTAAACTCCCTCTAATAACATCGACAAACCGTACATCTGTATATATTTGCATCTTTGCAGCTTCTGTTGGGCACGGGTTGTCATCTATCACTCTACGGTATGCTTGTCCCTTTGTCTTCTCTCTTTGAATGGCGCGCATCCAGTTTCCTTGATATCCTTTGAGAAAATAAACGAAGACAATTTTAGGGAAAATCTTAAACAATATCAAACCGTTTTAAGTATAGGAGGGCAAAGCACTGATAATATAGGGGTGGAACATCTGAGGAAGTAGTGATACGGACATGCAGTGATACGGACACCCCCGCCAAAAACTCCAGATCATTGATTTTAGAAAAAAGCTTCACATTCTAATCGCGAGTGAAATATACAAATTCCGCACAGCAACCTAGGTTTTGGTCATTTCTCTATTAGTCAGGCCGCAAATTTGAGTGGAACACAAGCCAAAACTATTGGTAATTAGAAACCTGTAATTTTTTAGTTATGCAAACAAGGAAAGTTAATTATTTGACTAAAATATTCAATTTTTAGTAAAACCGTGCCTGCCATTATTAAATGTGGCGAAAATATACAAAAATAAATATACGATTACGTCTAGATTATTTCACATAACAAATTAACAATGCAATTCTACGTTCTGGTTGCCTGCAATGGGCGTCGTCACTCAGTGCATAATAACGAGTTTTAGTATACATTTTGCATATCGAATGAGCTTTCGCGCGTTCTGATTGGCTAGTTGATAAATCTGACGCATTATTTACCACCGCGCGGCCTAGTAAATAATGTTTTTCAAAAGAATGATTCGGCAAATTTGGTTTCAAAATCCACAAAATATTGAAAAGGTCGTCCCCAGAAAACGAAAAAAAAATGTTGTATTTAACTTGAAAGGTATAGGGTTCCTTTATTATTTTACTGTGTCAAACATATTCACGGACTCCAAAACAAGTACTTTACTTCAAACAAATAGCAAAAACTATCCCGACTGTTGGGAAAAGCTGTGATATTCTTTTAAAACAATTTTGTTTTGTATCCTATAGATATCTCAATTTGTATACGATACTATTTCTTTTGACATGTCATGTTTTTATTGTGCTGTACGTACGTGTCCTGACGCTGTATTGTGTTTTCGATACTTTAAAGTGTAACGTGAAAAGTGTCGAACGATAACGTTATTTCGAACGATATATTTTACATTTCATTTTTACCAATGTTCTCAGCCATTTCCTGAACAAAGTAATGCTAAACAGAAAAAGTCATTCGGTCATTGTGTTTATATTCAAAGCAGAAATCGAGAAAAACAACTTTGTAATAAAGCAATAAAAAGGTCACACAAGAAGTCATTTTGAAAGCGTGTGCATGCGTATACAAAAAACACTGCAACACTAAAACAGTAACCGTGAACCGGCCGAAAACAGTTTTATTTCTGAATTTGAATTAAACTGATATTTGGATATTTTGTTTTATATATTCATTAAAAATTTATACTAAAACAATTATTCGCCTCAGGCTCAGTGATTACGGTGAATATTATGCACCTCGACTTCGTCTCGGTGAATATTCACCGGTAATCACTTTGCCTTCGGCGAATAATTGTTAAACATTTATTCCTAAATGCAGGCATGCAAGGACGTAGCCACCCCACTTTTCTTGAGGACTAATTTTGTGTTCTTTCAAAACTGAGGAGAAACAGGGGGGTGTGGCGTAACCTCTTAACTATTTCATCTATGACATAAAATATATCAAATCTGTGGTTTTCAGATTATCATAAAACGTGTCTAAAATGGACGAAATGACGTTCCGCTGGCCCTAAAAATAGAAATGTTTTCTGCGCATAATTGTATTCGAAATTCTACCCTTGCTAAAGGCTCGTTTGCACTGAATTGCAATTTTTGCTGCGAGTTCTAGTGCAATTTTCTTACTCTGATGCATGTATATGTTCCCTCATTTGAGCATTCATATAATTATACTCATCTTCTCGTGCACATCCATCAAAAGAAAAAAAATCGCAGCAAAAATTGCAAGTGAAAACAGGCCTTGACGCTAAAATAATAAAACTTGGATCTACGGTAGTTTACTACATTCTTTCAATTTTTTATCAAAACATGACGATAATGAATTGGAAACGGTGCTCTCGTCGTACGAAACGCTTTTTTGTAGCGAGTTCCAGGCATACAGAATAGTAGCATAAAAATTGAGAAAATTACGGAAAACGCTTCGTATTTTTTGGCAAAAAATTGTAAAAATGTAGCACGCTTATCACATAATACTTTTTGTTTGCGGAAACACCACGTAAATTTATTACTGCAGTATTAAATTTACGCGGTGTTTCCACAAACAAAAAGTATTATATGTTTTATAGCCATGCAAACCTACAAAGAATTTACACCTATCATAGTCATAGATTCAAGTTATGTTTTATTATAACTTGAATTTATATAAGTTCTTATATTTAATGTATACATAATTTGCGATGTACATAATTTTATTGCAGACACTTTTTATACCTAACCAGGAACGGTTGTGAAAAATGCAACACTTGGTCATCTGGCAGAAATTTATAGCGATATATGTTTTGATTTTCTTGCCAACCTTATGGAAATTACTCATTATCATGCAGTGCGGGATGTCGCCCCTCGCAACAAACAGAACTGCAGAATTGCGTTGTTATCTATAGACATTTATTATATTTATAAAATGCGTCCTTAGCAGCGTAGTTTTAATTAAAAAGTTGAATATTTTAGTCAATTATTTAACAATCATTCCGGCGAACTGGATGATTCTAGCTATATAGACTAACTTTTGATCCAGACTGAAAGGACGAAATCCATCATGATATCTTAAAAGAACATCCTTAAATTAGTGAAATTGCCGAATTGGGTTGTAAAATGTTGCAAAATATGGCCCCAGAGAAATTAGCAAATTTTGACCACTTTTGTCTTTGAGGCGAAAGTGGTGCATTTTCCCATGCGCACTACTAATATACTCAAAATTTGCTAATTTTCCAATTGACCATTTGCGTAATAGACTAAATTTTTGATCTAGACAAAAATTTCATCACAGCTTGAAAGACCATCACAAAATTAGCAATATTCCAAAGTTTCGTTGCAAAATGTTGTAAAATGCGGATAATATAGCCTTGCGAAATTTGCAATTTTCAGTCATTTTAGATTACAAACCGGAAATTGACAGCCCGATACGCTTTAAGGCTGTCAATTTTCCGTTTGTAATCTAAAATGACTGAAAATTGCAAACTTCGCAAGGCTATATTATCCGCATTTTACTACAACGTTTCGCAACGAAACTTTGGAATATTACTAATTTTGCGATGCTCTTTCAAGCTGTGATAAAATTTTTGTCCAGACTTGTTTAGATCAAAATTTTGTCTATTACGCAAATGGTCAATTCACGGGGCTATATTTTTTGTATTTTACAACATTTCGCAACCAAACTTTGCAATTTTATTAATTTTAGGATGCTCTTTTGAGCTATAATGAAAGATTTCGTCTTTCTGGTCTAGATACAAGATTAGTCGATAGCTGGAATCACCATTGAAAAGCCGAAAATATATATAGATGAAAATAAGTATATATATATATATATATATAAAGTATATACCTGATTAACCTGAGCGACATTTTCCATTGATCTTTTCTGTCATATATTGGTGTCATTTTCTACGGTTCTTTGACGATCTTGCTATAGAAAAAGTAATAATATAATTGTCATAAATTCATAAATATATTAATTTTACAGTTATATATAGAATAAAATTTTTTTGAAAGCCTGAACCAATTGTGAAGCTAAAATACACATGGATTTTTAGATAACAATTATATTAATTATATATACCAGAAACGGTTCATGTAATTATTTTTCTTGACTTCATGGTTTGGTTTTGTAATTTCTTTCGCAGTCTTTCTAGAAAAAAATAATAATAATTGTCAATACTTTTAGGCCTAATAAACTTTGTACAAATATAGAACAAGAGAAAACGTGAAGAATATACGGGGGGGGGGGGGGTTCTTTGTCAGTTTTTATACTAGTTTTTTTTCCGACTGTTGAGGTTGACATTTTAAGATGATGTCAAGATGATTGGTTTTGACGTATTAACAATAATATGCATATAATGAACATGTCTTTGTCTTGGAGTATATAACTCTTTATTACTAATTATCAGGTAGAAATTTTTACTAAAATAATATAAATTTTTGTAAATAAAATATTGTACTTTTCCATACTTAAAACGTTGTAGGAAAACTTACATGTGTAATAAATATCCTATATTGTTGATATCCAACCCAACTAAAGTGACTTTCAATGCATTTTCAGATTGGAGAAGAAGGCGACGCCATCTTGGTTTGGAATTTCTTCGACCTGGCCGAATTGGTCTTCGCAATTTTACCGCCATTTCTTCGTCATTTTCTTCAAAATGTCTTCCAAACGTCTCTCACACGTTCCTCGACACTACTATGGTATTTGATTGGTATTTATACTCGTTCCTTGGCAGAAAATCAATGCTTGTGGTTCATTAATTTTTGGTCGAGAAGCGCAGAAGCCGAAGGTCCTTCTTCTTCGAAGTGCAGGGGCAAATGACGTCAGAATACGATTGTTCACTGGTAAATACCCGTATGTATAATGTCTAATATTTTAAATACGAAGCTTTAAAGTTTAATTCTAGCTGAAATGGATGGTTTTTAGCCCTAAAATTGAGCTCAGATATTCCTTATATTTCTTTCCTTTATGATTTAATTTTTATTTCGCTCAAAAAACACTCCTGAGGAGCGTTTACCGTGTTTTTTTTATTTGCATGCTAACGAGTGCGGAAAGACAAGTCCGATTTGTCGGTTGAGTTTAACTTTTCCTCCGTGGCCGAATGGTAACGGCAACTGTATTGTGAAAAGCCACGCCCTTTGGTGTTTGCTG